ATTGTTGCATAATCCCTTATTTATTCAAGCACCACAAAACTATCCTAACTAACCTTCGCCGATTTATCTCTTATGACGGCCATCTCATTTTTCTCCATTTTGAATTATTTTCCCTTGAACTTCATTTGATATCCATATCATGAGGGTTCCAAAAAACATAGTTCGTCATCTTTGAAAGTTCACCATATTCGATTTGGAATAAAGTCATTTCATTTTCCGTGTTCTCTTCAGCAAACCCTTTCTTTGATCTCCATGTCATGGGGCCCTAAGAAACTAGACCGCCATCTTGGGAGATCCGCCATATTGGATTCAGTCTCATGTTATTGCCCATTTTCTCTTCAACAAACTCTTTTATTTGATACCCATATCAGGGGGGTGCAAAATTTGAACCGAACTAACATTTGGTATACATATATACAAACATTGCAAGTTCGATAAAAACTTTTCAATTTTTAATTTCACCAAGTTGCGCAGACAGATAATTTGAAAGTAATAAATAATTTAGTTGAACAAAAAACGATTGTTTTTTGCGGATATCTCACACTATTGCAATTATTCAAAATTTAAAAAAGATCTGTGAAGTGCAGAAAATGCGGAAACTGGGGTATAATAACGAATACACGAGTAAAAGCAGGTGGTAAAATTCTTTCAGCTCATTAAATATGAATATTGGGAATTAAAAAAATACCTGCAATGCTTCATTTACGTATTTCATTTACTACTACTTATCCTGTTCAAGTGGCTTACCAATAACGAAATCAAAATCCCATTGAGCATCGCTGAATAATGTCACTGATATTTTAGGGATGTCTCAAACGTCTTATGAATCTTACAGTGTTTTTCTTTGGTCAGTTTTATATTCAAAATGTCCTCGATAGATGTCAAAAGAGTTTTAAAATGTGAAATATGTAGTTGATTGGCTGAAACACTCGATGTAGTACAAGGTAATTTCTCTGACATTGTACATGTTTTGTATATTTTCATTAGCGATAAATGAATTAAGAATTATTATGAAACGTAGCAGGTAGCTACAAAACATCGTACATAGATTGATATAATATTTTCGAAGATTGGTTACCTAATTATGAGTATTAGGTATAATATAATTAATCGTCTACATGTTTTTCGTCAAGAAGTATTTTGATTCCCGATATATTACCATCTTCATCCTCTTCATATTCCTATTACGATACAACCTCACTATCCTTATCGTGTAAATCAATAATCAAATCATCCACGATGAAGTCTATCATGGGTTTATTTAACATGAACCGTCCTCAAATTTCTTTGCTCGTTCACAACGAAATTTCCATTACTCGGAAGAAAACTGTTTGAAGAAATCGTCGCAATATTGCAAGAAATCGTTGGATTTGAAAGTAACATTTTTGTTCGCCATATAATCTTTCAGTCCAGCCTGAATCAACTCAATTGGATTCAAATCCGGGTGACATGGCGGTAAAATGACATACAACGTTGTGATTTGCAGCTAGAAAATCTATTTCATACCGCTTGAATTTTGGCTCACTGTTATTCATGAAGACATATAATTGAGGTTTCTGCATGTTTCATCCGAGTGGAATATTCTTCCCTGGTATGATCGTAGGTTTTTTCAGACCTTTCATGATATGATCACTCCAACCTTTTAGCGCCGCATTTTCTTCAAAAATTCTATCCGAAGTGCCATCAATATTCTCCTGTTATTTTTCACCTTTCTTCATTAAAATACAAGTTTATGAATTTATTTCCTCAAAGACTCCCTGCTACCCTGATAGTCAATATCTCGCTTCCGCTTGTATACATATTAATACATTGTTCATATTTTCTCTGCTTTGTCCACTGAGAACCTCGTTTTACAGTTCACTATTCGGATGCATTTTCAAAGACAATAAATAAGTCATAGTTCACTATACAGAATAATTTCTCCACAAACTTTACTGACACGATGTTCACTACACCAGTTCATCGATATTAATGAATTCTTGCCCCATTTCGCCGGCTGATCTACTGGGTATCCAATATTCAGAAGCAGAGCTAGATTTGTCAAGCATTATCTGTATATATTCCCAGCTTTTTTTTTATAGTCAAAATTATTAAATACATCATGATAATTACATCATTCTTTTTGAAAGATACTTTGATCTTACGCAATAACTTATCGGGGTGAACTAAAAAGTTTGATTTTTCTGATAAAGGTTCATTAATCAATATTTCATTATGTTCATACAAGGTATTCAATAGTAACTATTTTTGACATTGTAATTTGTAAATAGCCTAAGTTGTTTTTTTCTAACGTAAATCCTTTCTTCAAATAGAAATCATTTTTATAAAATTATAAGGACAATAGAAACCATTTCACTATGCCTAAAACGAAAGATTAGATATTTCAGTAATTATAGAGAAAATGTTTCAATGAACTAAGAATTTTGTTATTTTTCACATTACTGACGAAAAATATGAAAATCGATTATATAGTAATAGTGACACAATTATATATTTGTCTGGGAATACCAAAATGAAAATGCGTTTTGTAAATAATGATTAAGTTTTACGAATTTTTTGTTTATGGAGAACTTGTCAAACTTTCATCAAACGTGTTCCTGATAAGCAGCCGCTTAAAAAATTGGATGAGTTTACCTTGTTTCGACTGCAAACTGCAACATTTTGGTACAATATCAGGTTGGTTTTTTCACAGGATACCTCAAAGTTTCAATTCCTGAAGAGATTCTTCATTTCCGATTATTTTTTCAACGATATGAAGAATTATAAATTAATTCAAAATCTCAAACCTGGGTAGCGAGTAGCATTTTGTCGATCATCAAAACGCAAGAAATTAATAATTTTTTCAAAGTATATCGGTTGATGGAGCACAATTTTCCAAAAACGGATATGAGGCTTTCAAAGTTGGAAATATATCTGAATAACCCTGTCAATAATCACCCTGCATATAAGTGTGTCTTGCAAATGAATAAAGTAGGTACAATTTATGTTTCACTTAATCACTTCATCATCACTTCAAGGTCATGTTCCAAGTTGAGGAATGTAGTGGTAGTTTGAAAAAGTTGACAAATTGATATTGATTGGCACCTAGTCAAGAACCAAAAAGTAAAATAATTGGTAGTAAAACTCTGAGCGAGTCTCAGATATCTGCTGCAGCTTGTTTTACAAAAAGGATTTTGGAGAATTTTAATGCCTTTTATGTGATATTTCGGTGATCCCTAAAAGACAGTTCCCTGGAATATCGTAATAGAAAGGATTGCAGTAGGAGATATATAACATCACTTCATTTGGTTACTCAACAGTCTCCGCTCTTCATCAAATATACATCTTACTCCGTTGTCATATCAGTTTTAGGTTGGATAAAAATGCTAATCGGATCTGAGGTGAGCTAATCGGATCGTTCACAAATGTAAATGAGCTTTACAATTTCCATATATTACCATTCGATAATTCCGTAGGTAACAAAATGTTAAAATTATTATTTATTAAAAATGCATCTGATTTCAGTTGAGAAAAGAGTTCATAAGTCACCTGGTGGGTTGACTAGTGGGTTACAATTGCCACCCACTACGAATTATCAGAATGTTCCGGATGGTTGATTTGAAAAAATTGAAATTTGCGAGTTCCACTTGGTATATCTGGTAACTGATAATTTCAAATTCATTTTACGCCCATATACACTTTCAAATCTACCAATCACTAAATTTCATCAAAAAAATTTTCAAAGTCTTCTTTGATAAAAATTCACTGACTTTAGTAGAAAACATAAGAAACCAAACCACGCCACATAATTCAATTTTAGTTTCATTCGATGTAAAGAGTATGTTCTCCAACACCAACATACCGTACAACGAGTGTGAGCCCCTCATTTTAGACATATTAAATCAAGCCAAAGTAGACCATATCACTTCCTTTGAAGTTTCAACAGCTTTCGATGTGTGCCTAAATCAGAGCTACCTACAGTTCAACAACAAATTTTTTAAACAGGATTCAGGTTTACCAATGGGCTCACCCCTTAGTCCACTTTTAGCAGACATATTCATGAACAACTTAGAGACCACTATAGTAAATTCCGACCTGGGTAAAAAACATATTCATTTTTGGTACAGATATGTAGACGATATTCTCGTCTGTTTCAGAAGCTGAACCAATTTATGACATTCATGAATAATCTCAATAGCAACATTCAGTTCACACTCGAAACAGAGATAGAGAAACAGATAAATTTCTTAGACCTGACCACTACACACAATCAGAATAAATTTGAGTTCAATGTTTTCAGAAAACCAAGCTATACAGACATCACCATCCCAAGCGATTATTTCCATCCAGACAGTCATAAATTCGCAGCCTTTGTCTGCTAACAATCTAGCTAGGGAAATTGATATAATTACACATACAGGTCAAGTTAGTCAAGAAACAAAGCCGAAAATTCACGTACAGATTAATATATCCTCAGGTCAAACAACCCGGAATCAAGAAATGGGTAACTCTTAACATGTTTTGGAAAAAGAACAGAGATAATTGCGGGTTTCTTCAGAAAAAACAATGTGGAAGTGGCATTCAGACCACATGCCAGGTTATCTCATTTCATTTTCAATGCCAAAGTTAAGGTGGACAAGTTGGAAAGGTCTGTAGTTTATAAGCTTATGTGTCCGGAGTGTAATAGTGTTTATGTTGGACAATGTGGCCGAAATTTAATGATTTGCAGATAAACATGAGCCCGGAAAAATCTACACGTCAAATTTTCTCCGAAATAAATATTTGTCATACAAGTGCTTGGAGACATCTCGAAAAAGCGGTTTAAAATGTTACAAAATACACATATCTCAAAAATTGTATCCAGGTGATCCCGAAAGGCAATTAGAATTTTGTAATTGGCTAATAAGAAGACATGATTTTCCTGTTTTCTTGGAAAATGTAATTTAGACAAATGAAAGCACTTTTACAAATTGTGGAATATTCAACCGAAATAACGAACACATTTGGAGCATAAATAACCCCAGGCAGTTCCGAAGAATTCGTCCTCAAGTGCGATTTAGTATTAACGTGTGGGCAGAAATTTACGAAGATAGAATTTCGGGTCCTCATTTATTTGACGGAATTCTGAATGGAGAAACCTATCACCAGTATTTAATGTCGATTTTCGAAGACTATTTGGATGATCTACCTTTGGCTATCTAAATACCTGACTGAAAAGTTTGGTGATAAATGGATAGGGAACAATGGGCCGGTGAGGTGGCCAGCAAGGTCTTCAGACTTAAGTGTTATGGATGCATTCTTATGGGGTACACTGAAAAATAAAGTTTATGGCCAGAGGGAATATCAAAATATTGAGGACCTTCAACACAGCATCGTTAGAGAGTTCGGAAGATTGAGAAGGAGGAAAATGAATCATGCAGTGAATAATATTCGAAGAGGGGCACAGTTGTGTTATCATGAACAAGGCCAGCATTTTGAGTATTTGCTGTGATTTACTTTTGTCTTTACATTTTAGTTAATCATTGTTATTTGTTCAAAGTTCTATTTTCATTGAAAAGAACACAATGTCTAATTTACCTCATACGCACCTCTTTTATCAAATTTTGATTGTTGATTCTGTCTCTTTATTTTTTCAATTGGCTTTTCAAACGAACCAAACTCAGTGAGATTTTGATCCAATAACTTGAACATAGTTCGATGTGGTTGTCTTTTTTCGGGATACAAAGTTTGAATACATTTTCGATGTCCTAACACTGTTTCAATCGTATTTGTAATAAATTTGTATCATATCTCTTTTTTCTTCATTCGTGAAAAGGTAAAAATTTGGTTCTATTCAAAACAGAAAGAATCCAATGTAGCGCCCTTAAGAAAAAATAAAGTTGATGATGGTGGCCGGAAGACGAAACGTCGGATAGCAAATCTGAAAACACCATTATGTAGTAGGGAAAAAGTAGTAATGTAGGAGTGCAATATATTTTCGAATTCTTCGAAAAATGAAGCCAGAAAAAATAACTATTTTCCGAAATTTCTGTTTTTCCCGAATATCTCCGGATATACTCGGAATTTTAGAACTTTCTCAACGGCATATTGTTAGTCAGGTAAATACGCAACTTTGCCCCAATTCAACCATCTTCGTATCTCTCATAGTTTCAAAAATTCCAATGGTGAAAATCGAATTTGAACCACCCTGTATATCGAACTTTAATAATGGTAAATAGAACATAACGAAGAAATCTTGGCGGGTTGTTTGGATCTATTTTATTAACTGCTGATAATATAATGTATGTAAAATAAATATTATACATGTATAGGTATCTATTAATAGATATAAAGGGCCAATAAAAACTTTGGCGTTTAAAAAAAGTCCTGTCAGAGTTCAATTTGAGGGGAAAACTTTCTGCGCACATTTTCATCCTTAAATATTGAAGAGACTTAGGAAGCGTCCTACAGTTTGTTTGAAAGGTCCTCTTTTCAACGATTTTTTTTTTATCGCATGCAGTAAATATACAAAATATACAAATGTTATAAACACTACGAAAGAACTAATGTTACTGTTTTTTCACTTTCAAGACTTCAATGCTTGTAATAAAATTAAACTGACTATCCTCTATTGAGCTGAGTATCTTCCGTTGAAAGTAGAAGTAATGAATAATTTACATTACATGTATCGAAAGAAAGGATAAACAAGCGGTCTGGCACCTGGTGTCAATCAATCGATTACAGGTGTTGAAAACACCTTTTTGGCGGACCACGATGAACTCCTCAATTTACGACTTGAGCCCACTAGACCTGAGAAAAAATGGTTAGGTGCCTTAATAAGCCGTGGTCTTCAATGCATCGGTTTATCCGATGCATTGCCGCAGGAGTGAAGTGGCTTTTATTTCACTGAACGGTTGATACAGTTCTGATCAGCTCATTCAGTACCGAAAACTAAATCAAGTTCATCTCATGGTCGCGAACCATGCAGAGAAATATATCCAAACTTCTTATGAATCTTCAAGCTCTAACTAGTAGGTAGTGTAGATAGATACTCCAAACTCAAAAGTCCACGGCCTACTTGTTATCGAATGTAGTATAACCCTGGAATGTACGATTCGGGATGCAAACTTTCGACAGTTCTGATGACCAGATCTGTCTGAGTTTATGCTGATTCTTGCCGCGGAGAGAGTTCTTTACTAAAGTTACCTCTTTCAAGGCATAAAGTTAAAAGTCATCCGTATAAAACAAATGAGTGGTCTTATGGATCTGGTTTCCGGGAGTGCCACGGTTACACCCTCGAGTATTTCTGAAAACAACGAATTATGTCAATGGCGTGAAAATAATATGGTATTAATTGAAATTATCATTATCATACATCTGAAAAGGGGCCGGTCATGTCTTGTACCCGAAGCTCCGACCCATTCGGAGGGCATTTCAATGAAGTTAACACAAAACATCCTAAATGATCTCATTGAAAAAACAATGGTTTCGTATCAATTTGAAAATGAATAAATAATTCAAGGACAATCTCAGTAATACATATTTACATTCTTTGGATTACTCAAATCTTTTTGCTCCGCCAAAAAAAACTTGACACGTCATTATGTGCCATAAAACACTTTAGAAAACCGTTTCAACTTTCAATTTTCATATTCATCGCGATAACATCCATTTAAGAGTTAATATTGTACCTGACAGTTAATGTATTATTCATGAAGAAAGACAACGGATGTGGAACAATGGACACGTTATATTTTTGTTTTGTATTGCACGGTTCGTTACGACGTTACATTTTCAGCAAATATAGGAATATATTACGTGCGATCGAAACAATTAGCAACTTTCTCTTTCAATAAGTGGTGACCATGTAGCCATAGATAGTCAGTAGAATTAATAATAGCCAAGCTGCTTGACTGAAATAATAACAATGTAAAGTACTTCGTCGATACAAACTAGTTCAGCTGAAGTAGAGCATTAATTTAACTATTTATTGATTTGATGTGATATTTTTTTAAGTTTTCACCTGCATGAAATATTCATTAATTTGTTCTGATCATTTAAAATTTAGACAAAGAGCCCTTTCAACTTTTTTAATTAAGACAAAAATTACAAAGGTGTCTGGACGCAACATTAAATGACCCCATCAGATCAGTTATTTATATTAAATTGTAGATAAGTTCAATTCAAGTTTTTCATTGGTGCAAAAATCAGTGTTCATGATCCTCCTAAAAAACACTTTTTTAAATCTTAGTCTGAGGAACTTTGACATTTATTTGATATGTCGATGTCGAACGAGTATGTTTTTTTTAATAATAGCGATTCCAGTTTTCTGGAATCAGTATTCAGTCACCCTAATTATATTTCGGAAATACTATTATTCACCTTTCAACTATTTTCATTTTCACTGAGTATTTTCTGGCAATAAAATATTCGATTTAGAAATAATGTTTCAATATTATGTGAAAATGCATGATTCGCTCTCCAGAAAGAAAGATTACATATGGTTTATTTTTGATTTTATGTAACCACACTCCCCATATTGGAATAACTCGCAAGAACAAGATCTGATGATAGTACAGGGCATTCGACCCTGAAATTACTACTCGTTGTTGAGAAACTCTATGCTTATTTGTCCAAAGCCATGTTGATTTCTATAAATTTAATTCAAAACGAATATTTTATATAATTTTGTTGCACTTTTGTCCAAAAAACTAGATATTTCTAGTGTATTTTCAAGTTGAAGTAAAATTACTAAAAGGTAAGGAATTTCAAATGATTATATTATGGCAGGTTTGCAGAATCACTAATTTTTTTCCCCAAAAAGTAAACACGATACAAAAAATGAATTGCCTAATCGAAGGATAATATCAAACACCAACAGAGAAGTTATTGATCAAAACACTGAAATATTCAAACCGTAGTTACATATTTTCAGCTACCCGATTGGCTGTCGTTACTATGAAGTAGTCAAGTGCAAAATCGGCAAAACTCATTTGCACGAAGCACTCAGGGCACTTACATACGGACACAACCACAGAATCCAGACCATGACATTATGGATTCAGTTAGAAGATCTTGAAGTTGGAAACCAGAGCCCAAACACAACGAATTTGTGATTCAACACCATACAGCGCTGTTTCGACCCGCTATAGGTCTCATCAACGATGCTACGCTGAACCACAAATGCGTTGCTGAACTCAACTGTCCTTGAAGGATGAGCCTAAATAAGTAAGGTCGACATCTTCCCTTACGGAGATGCTATCTATGAGATTGACAAAAACTCAATTCTTGAATGTCAAATATGAACCAGGCTTCCCAAAATGGTTAGTTACGAAGCCAAGCTTCGACACTGACCGCCTACGAGATTCGTCCTCTGTCTTTCAATGCTGCTTTCACTGCAAAACTAGTTGAAAACCATTGCCCAAACACAACGCATATATGATTCTTCAATACCAGACATCGCTGTTTCGACCCGTCATAGGTCTCATCAGCGATGCTTGGCTGAACCACAAATGCGTTACTGGACTCAACTGTCCTTTAAGGGCAAGCCTGAACAAGGTCAACGACATCTCCTCTTACGAAGACGCCGATACATACAAATAATGCAAATCTATTTACATTGAAAGAAGCTTCATGTTACTGTTATGAAAAATATTGAAATTCATAGTAATCGACAGAAAGGCTTTTGGGCAATTATTTGAAAACACTACTGTGGGTACTTGAGTCTGTGTATCCTAAGTATTATTGTGGTTACTCGAAATTCTTAGAATACTCGAATTATTTGCTATGAACTCTAGTTATTTAAAAAAAATCAGTAACTACTAAAAATGAAAATTTACTAAATATCCAGTACCACTGATTAAATTGAATTGAAATAATTGTAGAAACATATAAAAATACAGCTACATTAATTTTAAAAGTAATATAGAAAGAAAAACATAACTCACTTTTCTTCATGATTTAAAAATTTACCTGATGTTACTTATATAATAACAACCATTATTGCAAAAAAATTGAGAAACTGTTTCAACGTTTAATAATATATTTAACATTTTCAGGTACACATGGTATACATAAGACAGGTCAATATAAAAAACATAAAATCTAAAAATCGAAGATAATTGTAGAAACATATAAAAATACAGCTACATTAATTTTAAAAGTAATATAGAAAGAAAAACATAACTCACTTTTCTTCATGATTTAAAAATTCATTGAGTGAATAAAAGTTGTTTTCCAATAAAAATGTCTTTGTTTTTAAACTTTTTGTGGTCAGGAATATCTTTAATTTTTCCTGGAAGGTGGTTGAAAGCAATTGCTTCAGCATATCTTGGCGATTTTTTGTATTCCGTAAGATTACATTTTTTAACATGAATTTCATGGTTTTGTCTAGTGGGGTAATCGAGTATTTCGTGAGATCTAGTGAACGATGACAAATTTGAGTGAATATAAGACAGTAAATTATAAAGATAGATACCAAATACCGTCAGAATTTAATTTTTAAAAAGACTTCTCTACATGATTGGATCTGTATGTTCCAAGACCAGCACATTTTCTTGAAATATTTCCATTAGCAGTATTCCATAGATGGACGTACCTACATGAAGTGATTCAAGTACCAGAATTTATTCATTTTCATTCTTATATAGCCACATGCAGTGAAACCATGCTTCACGTATTGTTGAATTAATAAAGTTATTGTTTCAGCTTATCATCGGTAATTTCGGACTAAGTTATGAACAGAGTAAAACCCAAATGGCGCTATGGGCAATTCTAGCTGCTCCGCTTTTGATGTCTGTAGATTTGAGGACCATACGACCAGAGTACAAAGCCATATTACAAAATAGAAAAATCATAGCTGTAGATCAAGACCCCTTAGGAATTCAAGGCAGGAGAATATATAAGGTAAACAAAACATGACATGACTCTACCACGAAGAATGAATAAATAAATGGCAATTAGCCTATTACAACTGGTACCGTAATGCCGTGAACGTGATACGAATTTACAATTCCAATTTAAAGAATCATTTAAAAATGACTTCAAGAATATTTCTCACTGATGACTTGATCAATTATTTCATTATACATAAGTATTCTCTATAACTCTTGGTTAAATTGAAATCTTTAGGTATGATTAAATAATGAACTTAAAAAAAAATCTTCTCGTGAAGCTCTGTATACTTGAGAAGATCATAGGGTATAAGTTTATAAACGTTTTCTATTTTGTTTATTATGTTTTTAAGTAAAAAAATTCATGAATATCAAAGAAATAGGGTTATTTTTTTTCAGTCTTTTCATTTTAAAGTTTTTTTCATTATCAAATGGCAGTAATTGATCTCGGTTACAATTTTACACGTCATAGATAAATTCAATAGTCAAGAAAAAAAATTATTGCTATTTTGTTGTAGGAATTAAAAAAATATGATTTGAATGTTTCATATATTTTTTTTATTTCCATACTTCAAATTATCAATTAACAAGAAATTTGTCTAATCAACGCAGTTAAAAAAATGTTCAATCTATAATTTAATGGTTTGTTAACGAAAAAAAAAGTTTAAATATTTCAGGATTATTCTCACAATTTTTTCTAGAAGTAAATGTAATTCTAAGAACTACTATATGTAACAAAATTCAATTAAACTTTCATTGTCTTTGTTTTTAATATTTTACATAACATGTAGCTGCTGTCGTGTTATATTAAAAAGTATCAAACACAATGACAATTTTATTTATATTTTGTTACACATAGTAGTTCTCAGAATTAGATTTACTTTCAGAAAAAAATTGTGGGAATGATCTTAAATTGTTTATAACAATGTTTTGTTAATGAGCAATTGAATTACGGATAAAAAATTATATTAACTGTATTTAGAAACACAAATAATGATTTTTGTATGATTTTTTCCCTAATTAATTATTTACAGTATGAAAATTAAAAATAATAATAATTAGTAATGAAAAAAATAAGATTTTTTTTCAATCATCATTTTTTAATCCAAAATATCAAAATAAATGTTTCCTAACTACCGAACTTCTCTATTTGTTTGTAAACAATTTGTTGACAAATAATTGCAGCCCAGATTAATTGCTGTCATTTGATAATAAAAAAAAACCTTGAAATCCAAACATAAAGACAAATTTTTCACAATCACATCTTAGATATTTATTGAATTTTTTGCTTGAAAAATCAAATCATTTATAAATTTTTACCTCATGATCTTTTTACCTACCTATACAGATTAGAAGGACTTTTCGAGATGGAATTATTTCAAGTTCATTAAACAAATTTTATTTCAACTATTTGTAAGACGTTTATTGAATTTTACTAGTTCGTACTTCCATTGTCTAATAAGATATAATATGATTCGATATCTCTGAAAGAACAAATAAAATTGAAGAAAAAATTAAATGAATAGCTAAAAATAACAATTTTATTGAGCAATAAATACAATAAAATGAAAATAAGCAAAGAATTAAAAATTGAACAATTAAAAATAAAATAAAAAATTCAAAAGATATCAAACCAAGTTACTTTCAAACCATTTTATTGCTCAATATAATTGTTATTTTTAGCCGATTTTTAATTTTTTAATTTTATTTGTTCTTTCAGAGATTTCAAATCATATTATATCGTATTAGACAATGAAAGTCCGAACTAGTAAAATTCACCATGAAACATTGTCAACCATTTTCTAATAAAAACTTATTGTTATAAAAAAAATTTGGTGATACTCTATCTTCAGCGGCGTCGCGTCTGTGGTAAAACGGGGGCGCAAAGCCCTATTTTCAAGAATTTGGACTTTTTCTAGAAAATTTCCTCCTCTTTAAGAACATCATTGACTCGTTCTTTAAATAATTATAGTTTTAATGTTATTACCAAAAAAAGTGTAATACCTCATTATCCTTGATTATACTGTTTAAAACAATCCTAATGTTTTATCTACTGTGAAATACTGCGAATACATTTTCCAAGCTCATTTCGAATCGAATGAGTTATTGCTCATATTTGAGTTATTGCTCATATTTTTAGAAGCTGCATCTTTATTTCTCACTTTACTCAACTTCTTGATTAAACTTATATATTATGGTTTCGTTGATAAGCAATATTGTCTTCAACATAGAATATGTGGATCATGAAGTCAAAGATTTCAATATGCTTCTTGAGCCTTTTCAATATCATTGAGTGACGCCAATCAATACAATTCGCAAAAATAAAATAATAATATTATTTCAGCACAAAGGAATTGAAATCTGGTCACGACCCATAACACCGTTGTACCAGAATTATTTCTCCTATGCCATAGCGTTCGTGAACAGAAGAACAGATGGAACACCTTCAGACGTAGCAGTGACCCTCAAAGAGTTAGGTCTTACCTCGCCTACTGGATACGCAGTGGAAGTGAGTATTAATTTTGTAAAACATTATATCGTATCGAATCAGAGGCAAATGGTGATAATCGAAATAACTTTTTCTTTCATTGAAGAATGTAAACTTTCACAGACGGAAGATAACTGTATGAAGGCCATTTTCCGGGTGACGTTTCGTCTTCTCCTGCGGTAAACATTTTCAAAGGCGATGTGGTAACGGTCGCAATACCCGATCTGGTGCTCTGGTTCTTGTTCCTGTTGTATCCAACGCATTTACTATTATTTTCGTACTGGGTGCTCTATTTATACTGTTCTTGTTTGTATTATATATTATGGGTGTATTATGTATGTATTGTGTAACTGAAATTTTTAGAAGCTTTTATTCGACTTGTAATGCTTTAATTATGTCTGCTAGTTCGGGTGAAATCTCACAATTGAATTTTGAAGCAATTATCAACAACCTATCAAGCTGAAATTTTGTATACACGTTTAATCTGGATGGCAATGCATGATTAGCTAAGTGACGTCATACGCATCCCTATTACAAATGAAAGAGTGTGCTAAAAAGAACACGAACAATAATATGACGTCACTCTAAATCCAATATGGTTAATTACTTTCTTTATGCACACTCTTGATATTAGAAACAAATGGAAGAGTTTACTGAGAAGAATACGGAAATTGAAATGACGTTGCTCGAAACCCAATATGGTGGCCTCCGAAAGATGTTTCTTGCACCTCCATGATATGGATATGAAATGAAAAGGTTCAAGGGGAAACAATTAAAAATGGCGAAACTTCATACCAATTTTGAAGGGTTATAACTCGAAATATGTTAGAGATAATTTGATGGTCCTTGAACAAATTTCCAACCGACCGGTCATGCACAATTAAATGAAATAAAAAGCACTAACCACATCATCAGCACATCAATTGATTACATAGTTTTTATAGACATTTTTGGTGAGGAAGACAATCTTATTAGATGTTTTTTTTGGGTACCTATCTAACCTTTCACAATCTGAAGAATGAGCAAAGCTGAATCAATAAAGAATAACAAAGTGTAATAAAGGANGATACCCATATCAGGGGGGTGCAAAATTTGAACCGAACTAACATTTGGTATACATATATACAAACATTGCAAGTTCGATAAAAACTTTTCAATTTTTAATTTCACCAAGTTGCGCAGACAGATAATTTGAAAGTAATAAATAATTTAGTTGAACAAAAAACGATTGTTTTTTGCGGATATCTCACACTATTGCAATTATTCAAAATTTAAAAAAGATCTGTGAAGTGCAGAAAATGCGGAAACTGGGGTATAATAACGAATACACGAGTAAAAGCAGGTGGTAAAATTCTTTCAGCTCATTAAATATGAATATTGGGAATTAAAAAAATACCTGCAATGCTTCATTTACGTATTTCATTTACTACTACTTATCCTGTTCAAGTGGCTTACCAATAACGAAATCAAAATCCCATTGAGCATCGCTGAATAATGTCACTGATATTTTAGGGATGTCTCAAACGTCTTGTAAATGTGATGTTTTTTGCAGTTATATTATTCAAGTTTTCTTTCAACAATTTTTTTATTTGTTGATTATGTCTTTATAACTTTCAGGATTTATATGAAGATGTAGACTACGGAGTATTGACACCACAAACAAAGATCAAAGTGAAAGTAAATCCATCGGGTAAGATTTTTATAGAACTGAATAGGATATACATGCATCGACTAATCTGAATAACAAGCTTCCAAATGAAAATATTCAATTTGTAATTTAATAGTGGGATCAGCTACAAAAGGATATTCATATATGCTGGCATGGCATCTGAAATTATTTTTTCAGAGATAGCTGATTGGACACTTCTTGTTCATTTTGTATTAAAGTGGCATTACTACTTTTTTTCATATATCGGATGTTTTTTTAGAGGTTAGCTTTCTGTTAAAAGCTGAGTGTTAAAAAAAAGAAGTGGAAATTAAAAAATTGCATTATGATTTACTGTTTGATTTGTTGCAATAAGTAGTCACATACAATTTATAATCGTTAATTTCCCCTTTTATAATATGAAAAGCTTCAACAATGAACTGATAATGATATCTGGAAGCCTATTCAATAAATGTTATTTCTTAATTTTTCAGGAGTTGTCATTCTTAGGGCTGACGTACAACGAGACTTCAGTACAAGGGTACCTTTCTTCACGACACAACGAACACCTTTCAATCCTCTGAATCAAGTCTTCAGGGTGCGAGATAACAGGTTCATATAACTCCGCCCTATTTCGTCCTTAAGTAAATTATTAACATAGCGAGTTAAATACTAGTTGTAATATTCTTTTCATTTAATTACAATAAAATACAAAAACTTTGAAATGAAGCATTTGTTAATCCAAGATATACTGGTACTTATTTTTTCCTATTGTGATCGTCACTGCGAGTCCTCGCACATTCTTCGTCAGCCTAGTACAAGAGAGAGTTCCATCCAGTACGTCCCCTGAAAAGCCATAATAATTATAATAATATTTAGTTTATCTGGGAATATCCATTTACAGACATACCAATTCAAATTGTGAGAAAAAAAAACAAAATTCACGTCAAGAAAAACATACAATTACAAAAGTACATATTTATTTTAGCCTGTTTTGCAGTATCATAAAATCATCGAACTTAGTCTGACCATGCGGTGAATAGCCGCGAAAGTACAACATGTCCATCACATTTTGAGTCAAGGCGTGCTGTTGACCACCAATCAGTATTGTCTTATAGAATACGAATGATAGTGGCTGCTAAAAAGACACTGGTTAGGCGAGCTAGAAGTATCGGGAAAGCTAGGACTATTGGGGAAGCTACAAGTATTGGGGCAGCTAGAAGTATCGGGGAAGCTAGAAGTATCAGGGAAGCTAGATGTAAAGGGGAAAACCCCAAGTTCCGCGAGTAACCTCGTTTATTCCTGAAACCTTTGCGTGTTGTGGGTAATCCGCCTACCGCTGAGCGGGTGGAATCCTTCTGGAGATATTTATGATCATCCGCAGCCACTCGATCCAGACATTCCAGCTCTAGGGCAGAGTAAAGGTCTCTGTAAAGAGCTTCGACAGCCTGAGCCCAATGAACTGCGCAGCCCAATAACCTTGAATGACATTGTAAGAGCAATTATGGGTACAAATAACTTTGCCGATCCTGGCCCAGACAGGTTGAATATCTTTCAGTGGTGGAGAACAGCAGATTCCGTATTGGTTTATCGAGGGGCGGACCTTTCTCATCTCTAAGAGCGAAGATTTGTCGATTCCTAACAATTACAGACCGATAACATTCAACTAATACTCCTCTGGCCGGTCAGGCCTGAGTCCGAACAGAGTGGGATACTTTCAGGGGTGTATTTCAGATGACTTCTTCAGTCCCCTTCATTTTTACATCTCACTGTTGCCATTATCCGTTGCAATCAGAAATACTCGAGGGTACAACTAAGGTACCCTCGGAAACTGGGGCCATAAGGTCACCCGTTTGTTTCATATGGATGATCTTATACTTTTATGCCTCTGGAAAAAATACTCTTCATCAATCCTTGAAGGTGGTGAAAGAGTAAATGTATGTTTTCGGTATAAAATTCGGGATAGAAAAATGTGCAACGGTTCATCTCAAAAGAGGACAACGCGGGGATCACGGATGTGCAACTCGTGGACGGAAGCATCCTGCACCATCTGGATACCGGGGAGAGGCATACTTATCTCGGGCTGGAACAACGCCACTCACAAGAGGTAACAACAGTGAAGAACTCTCTCCAAGGCAAGTATCAGCACAAACTCCAACAGCCATCGGAATTGTCAGGAAGAAAAAAGGTGCTGCTACAAATATGCTTGCCGTTCCGATTTTAATCTACGCCTTTAGAGTAGTGAAATGGACTTGGGGGCAGATGTATCAACTTGACGTAATTTCCTGAAAAATAATGCATCTCCATAGGAATTCGCATCCCAAATCGTCCGTTTCATGGTTGTACTTCCTCCAACAACAGGAAGGCCGTGATCATTTGAGTTTGGAGTATCTACATGACAGAATGGTACTGGATGGAGCCTATGAAGTCATCATGAGTTCGGATACTCTTCTTTGCATAGTCTGCGAGCATGACAGATCCGGAATTGGTTGCATTCATTTTTGGGGCAGCTTTCGAGCGGCTGATGAACTCTGTTTAGTTTTCGACACTGACCTCTGGAGGGGCCAGAGGTGTCATTTTTTACAGTTTTACTTATGTCCTCTGTTGTTCTTTTTTCATATTCTTTTTTGATGAAACTCAAGTGACATATTTCTGGTTATTGAATGATTAGTACAGTCTCATTGATCTTAATTTAGTTACTTACCCTTTTGCATTGGTATAGTTTCTGATAAGAAAAATACCGTTTGTTGCCAGTGAGTCTTAGGGGCATGGGGTCCTGTTGAAAACTGAATGTTGTTTTCCAGATCAAAGAACGTATCAAAATATCCAGCTATTGCAGTGAGTGTACCATTATTTAATGCTTCGAACGTGAATTTGGAACTGAATATACAAGCATTCACATTACATGTTTTCAGGTCGATTTCTGTCAAGACAACGGGATTTGTGAGTACTTTTTCTGGGGGTATTGTTTCGATGAAAGCTTCTTTAAGCACTTCTTTTTTCATACATTTCATTGAGAAACCATAAACGTCGTCCCAAAAATGGATTATCTTATTGTATTTGTCTGGAATAACAAAAATCAATTATTTTCTTATTAGTCAGTGGGCTATGCTTGAAGACTGGCAGTAAACAATTCTAAAGAAATGAACTTTAAACGTTCAAGCCAGTCTCGAATTTACCTACACAGTAGGTTGAATGGACTGACGCGTATGAGGGCTATGCATAACCCACTGACTAATAAGAAAGTTTTTCTTCCTTATTCAGAGGAATCGGGCAAATTTCGGATATGCAGTTGGTTAGTACCTCGTCCACTAGATGGAGTGACATTTTTTTGTTCGCTCCAACTTAGGAAGAGGAATGAAATACTCTGAAAGAATTCCGATTTTCAATTATGGAATATCATTAACTTTAGGTCGATGACGCCTGTCGGATATAATTCAACGCCCTTCGTGGTATTAGCCAGGGAATTAGTTGTTTTCTGATAGGCGTCAGTCCATTCAACCTACTGTGTAGGTATATTCGAGACTGGCTTGAACGTTCATTTCATTTCAGTTCATTTCTTTAGAAAAATCAATTAGTTAATTAATAATTAAGTATCTTCATATTACGTACTCAACAACAAAAATTTGTGTTACTTATATTCATTATTTTAACATTGAAATGTGGAATAGAAATAAATTTATGTTCATCTTGGTTTTATAAATGTGTGCAAGAGGGCGCCAAAGATGTAATTATATGTACAAGAAATTTGCAACCACAATGGTATTATAGTAATGTGTGAAAGTGAATTATAGAGATAAGCAGAGCAAGGAAAACATCAATATTTACTATCGACCTTCAAACACCCATGTTTTTTCCAGCGTAAAACATCGATGTCCTGAAACCAATCAGTATTCAGTTCTTTGAATAAATAATAAAACTTAAACTTGATGATTTATCTATTGTAATGAATGATAAATATGAAAAAATCACATGATTATATTAATTTACTAGTAAAAATACGTAGGACATATTGAAACAAAGTTGATAAATGAAATAATATAAGTGTAAAAGCAAACATGATTTTTTTTTATTGAAACTGAAAAAATAACACTGATGAGTATATTATACATATCATTGTACATATTGGGCCAAATTGGACACTTTTAAAGGGAAACTCGTGTTTTAAAACTAGATAAATGAATACTGATGGCTGTCTCTGTGGTTCACATTTTATGACAAACTTAATGGTAAAAATCGCATAGCAATATCTATCATTGTTTCTGAGTTACAGCATGTTTTTCAAAAATGTGCATTTTCGAAAAGTTGCTGGAATTTTTTTCCTGTCAAAAATTTCTTATTTCTATGAAAACATTTCCAAAGCACTTTTTTTCTTATAATTCAATGGTGCAAAAAACTTATTTTTCAAATGAGATATCAATAGTTATTGATGGAAAACTATTTTTTAATGAGACACCCTGTATATTCCTGCATATTTCAATAGAGCTTAAAATTACCTTTCCAAAAATGGAGCACATTTGATGTTTTGCTAGAGTCATCTTTGAAATACAGAGCTTTCAAGTTTCGTCATGTAGACTTTGGAACACACACTTCGATCAATTAGTCTTTGGACGATGAGGCGATAAAACAGAATGCAAATCTTTACTGGTAGCTGTCAAATTTTGATTTAAGCAGTAAAGACGCCCTTAATTAGTGGTTTTTGTACAATTTTCAAACAAATTCTCAATGAAGTATAAGAGATGAAAAACGGGATATGATAGTCTGTTTTATACAAACTGGGGAAAATGCAGAAGCAGCAAGCAAATTTGTATCACGAGAGGTATCCAGAGAGAAGACATCCTTTCAAAGACATTTTCACAAGATTGCGACACAACCTTATTTATAGTGGTCAATTTGAAAAGAAATGGCCAAAATTATATGAATCAAATAGGAGTTTAAAGAATTAGTCGTTTTAGGAGCTGTTGAAAATAATCCCAAAACGTTAACGAGAAATTTGAAAATATCAACAGAGCTGCCAAGAACTAACGTTAGGAGGGTTTTTGATAAAACACAAATTCAAGCCATACAGGAACATAAGAGTTCATCAACTCAAACCAGAAAATTTTGAAAGCCGCCCGTTCAAAATTTCCTGGGCCGAATTATTGGCCCGTTCATTTATAATGGCACTCTCACATCTCAGAGGTATTTAGAAATATCAAGGCAAAATATTGAACCCCTTGTTGATGAATTGCCACTAATCTTTCTTAGGAAAATATATTTTCAACAAGACGAGACTTCGCCTCACAACACTGCAAATGACACCAATTATTTGGCTGCAAATTTGGGGAATAATTGGATAGCCAACCCAGGACGTAACCGTTGGCCGGCCAGATCACCGGAACTAACGCTTATGGACTTTTACCTGTGGATGAGGTTGAAAGATTTAATGTTCAAATTTCCGTCCAATTCTAGATACGAATTGGAAGCGGCAATGATGCCGCGGTAGTTTCGCTTCTCTCACTCCTATTAAACTAATTAATTCGATAAAAAAGGTTCAGAAAAGGTGCCACCTGTGTGTAGGAGAAGCTGGTAGACATTTCGAACACCTTCTCTGAAGAAATATATTTCATTGTTTACTCTTTATCATTATTATTACTATTGTTGAAGTTTCATTTATTAGTGGTAAATATAGTAAAAATTGTTATCAATTTAATCGAAACAATGGGTTTTAATTACTGCTGTAAAAAGCTTTTTCAACATTTGATAGCTACTACTGAACATATTCTTTCTATTTTATCGTCGCGTCGTCCAAAGCCTATTTGATCAAAGTGCGTGTTTCAAAGTCCACGAGAAAAAAACTTAAAAGCTCTGTATTTCAACGATTACTCTAGAAAAGCATCAAGGAAAAGGTAATTTTAAGCTCTATTGAAATATGTAGGAATACGTTAAAAAAAATTGTTTTACATCAATAACTACATATTGATATCCTATTTGAAAAATCAAGTTTTTAGTTCTACATAAAAAAGTGCTTTAGAAAAGTTTTCATAGAAATAAAGAAATTTTTGACGAGAAAAAAGTTACAGCAATTTTTTTAAAAATGCATATTTTCGAAAAACATACTGTTACTCAGAAACGATGATTGATATCGATATGCAGTTTTCACCATTAAGTTTGTCATATCTAGTTTAAAAACACGAGTTTCCCTTCAAAAGTGTCCAGTTTGGCCCACTATGTACATGATCTACACACTTTGTAAATAAGTTGTGCTGATATATTTAATATTTTCTCCCTTTCTTCGGAAGTTCTCCACTGATCGAGAAGGAGAAAGTCAAAAAGGTTTTTGACATGTTTTTTAACTTAAGAAAAATAACTACTCCAAATTCACCTTCCACTCTTGGAATATCGCAATCTACAGTGTCGATGTACAGAGATAATAACGAAATATCATTTTGCAGAAGCAATGAACTCCATCATAAACCATCAAAGCCGGATCGTTAATTTTAGAAAAAAAAATTACTGTAATAGAAACTACATTAGATGTCAATTGGTAAGTTTTTTTATTTGAAGAAAAACTTTTATTTTACATTTTTCCTTTCTAATATTGAATCTCCTTTTTTTCTGAAGTGATTTTAAAACAACACACTAGTAAACATGGTCTAAAGCTAGATGTTTCAACAACACTTTAAAAAATATGTTCTGAAGCTAGATGTTTCAATTTTTTTGTTGGCGAATTATTGGGAGGGAAAAATATACAACTTGATCAATGCTTCTGTCCACAACAAACACTGCTCAACACATCAGAAATGATGAGGAAGTTTAGTTCATCTCCTGTTGACGCCAACTTGGTTGGTTAAACGCGCATCGATAAGAATGTTGCAGTTCTGGTATTCAGGAGCAGCATTTGTTTCACATCAGAAGTTCCAGTTCTTCAGCAATGCTTCTGATTGAAACTATGTTAGTTCCAAAGTGAACATGTCAGACGAAGCACCAGGGAAGAATAATTTTACATTTTCTGAATATGCTAGATGCATTACAGGATCACATTTTTTCATTTGAACTTAGTTAACAATGTTAGGAGGTTTATTTTCATTGCAAAAAAGCTATTTTGTGATTCACAAAATAGCTTTTTTGAATTTTTTCATCATTTACCATCATCATTTTATTTTTATTTTTTTCATATTATTGAGATTTCACTTATTGTTTAACTCATTTATCTATACATTTTCCGTGTTAGGAATCACACGTTAAAAGGTAAGACCTCGTTAGTCCTTAGCTCGCTCAAGTTTCTCAACTTCTGAGAGTTGTCGTTCGTATGGGGGCGACAGCTGATGAACGGAAAAACAGATTTTAAACAGATTTTTTTCATTTCAGGTCACAATAATGTGTTTGCTACAGAAACGAATTAGCGTTCTTATATTATTGAATTGGAATTCAGAACCTCTGAAATTCATCATGTTACCCTAAGACGACTAGCTCAAATAAAATTCAGTGAAATATGCTTTTGAGAAAAACTCAAATGTGCTTTATAATCTGGTCAAAAACAAATCACGATTTATTTGCTCACACTAATAATGTATTATTCTTAGTGACAGTATCAAAATGTTGAACTTGACATATATAGCTCAAAATATTTCAACTTGTGCATATCTATTTTGTGGTTGGTAATCCAACTTTTCAATCCGCTTATTATAATAATTTCCTCATAGGGAAATGTGAATTTCAAATCATGATTGTTGAATATATCATGGAGAAGCTTAATTAATTTCACTTCGTCTTTGAGATGCGTAAACAAAAAACAGAGATTGTGCCGTAAGTAACTGAGACAGACAGAGACGAAGTATTCTGTTAAATAATGTTTACCACTGCACATTCAACCTTCATTGACAAAGTGAAATTTGTCAAGCAGTACGAAATTTCTATATTAAAAAAAGATCATTTGTGAATGAAACTTATTATGTTCAAGTGAACATTATGCAAAAGACAGCGATTTTTATTTTTAAAAAAGTGGTAGACAGGTGACAATAAAAATCTTGAAAAAAGTCAGATTTTTCCAAAAAACCTTATTTTCCTTCTTCAATCTTTCAGTTTAGTATATAGATTTTTCTAAATTTTTTGTGAGGCAATATACACAATATATTTATTTACAAAGTATTATAGACACTTACCTTCATCACATACCCCTATTATGGTAATGTTACATCTGTTGGGTAAAATAAGACCTCCTGGTTTCAAAAAAGCATCTCTAGCATAAATAAAACTATCAAGCATACCCTCAAAGAGTAAAAAATAGCCCATCCATTCAGACACAATTATATCTACTTTCTCTACAGGAAGTTCTATTCGTTCCAGCTGCCCTTTTATCAGATGAATTTTGTCTTGCAAATTGTTCTCTCTAAAACATAATTCAGGTTTTTTTTTCGATATATGTTTCTAAGATTCTCAATGTCAGTTTGTTCATTCATACTATTCAAAAATATATTAATTAGAAACCAATTCAAGAAATAAGTTCATTTCAGTTATCGGATAAGAACAACATCGCAGCTGATATCTATCTTAATCTAACTTAATGTACGATTCCTCAAGCAAAACCATTCCTACTTTAGAAACATGTGTTGCAATTTTGTAAAACTCCATAGTGAAAATCTCACAGTAAACTTTGATAGAAAGTTTCAATACAGATTTTAATTAAGTATTGGTCAGATCCATTCAACACAACCTTTCTGTAGAAGATGCACGTTATGTATAAGTATAGTCATTTGTTCAAGATACCCCACTGTGTATTCAGATACCACAAGGTGTTTGAGCTTATACAATCTTGAATCAAATACCCTCAGTTACCAATATAGGAGGTTGCACACATTTTTCACCTGCCATGATATATCTGTTGATTTGTAGACAGCCAGCTATCACTATCTTCAACCAACTTTTATATCTGTTCAACTAATCTCTCTTCATAGGAATGAGAACAAACTCCCCTCAACAATCCAATACAGAAACTAGTGACCCCCCCTTCATCCATGAATTAAGAATTCTCATCATATGGTGCAGTTTATTGTGCTCAGATTATCAAACCCCCTTTCAGAAATCTTTAAACAACGTTAAAACTAGAATGGCTGTTATTGTTTTTAGTTGATACGTATTACCAAATTTCTTAACAATATTGAATTGTGCTATTATGAAAGTATACATTCTAAATAAAAAAAATAAGAAACCCATGCAATTACAATGCAGAAAAAAGTTTTCAAATATTCAACACTTTATTGTGAGATTTTCACAGTTTAGTTTACAAAACCGCGACAAGTGTTTCACTATACAATAGCTTCTTCAGGTGTGTTCATACATACGCCCGTGAAAGCTACTGTATAGTGAAATATGTGTTACTATATTGTAAATTGTGCTGCTTGAATCCATTAAGCAATTTCATCGAATATCAGCCAGTTCTATCACATATATGAAGTTATAAAAGTATTTGGTTGAATATTAAAGTTTCATTATTTTATCTCTATTACCTGACAATGTCCATTGCTTTATATAACACTTCAGATTGATCCACTCCATAAACTCTTTCAGCACCTGCCTTAGCTGAAAACATTGACAAAATTCCTGTGCCACATCCAACATCCAACACTGATTTCCCAAGAAATAAATTTTTATTAGTCAATATTGCATTCCGGTAACTTTCTGTTCGAACTTTATCCTTAAAAAATATAATCAAGATAATTTTTATATTTCCCAGAGTAAATTCAACAAGCTTGTGCAATATTACATACATTCAACATGTCATGATGAATCGCAAAATGAGAATAGGAGTTGAAGTAATCGCTGCTGTCACAGCCCGCTGAAGCAACATTATGTGGAATCCTTCTGTTCATCACATCACCAGATTCTACTATTACCCTAGTAACTTCTTTCATTTTCTCCATATCTTTGGAATAATTTTCAAGCAACATATCTTTATGTTTGACCTAAGAAGAGAGTTTTATGTACTTAAATAACAAACTTCTCATTTTTCAATTGAATTACCTGCATAGTGAGTTCTTGAATCTGCCTTTGTAAATCTGAGAAGTTGATATTGCTAATAGGAGTTTTTCCATCTATTGCATAGTGAGGAGTAGAGGGTGCACTTCCTAGATCATCAAAATCTATAACATAATATTTTACTTCATGTACAATTTTATTCGATCAATCTTTATATACAGCAAGAAAATAAGTAAAGATAACCAACAAATATATAAGAATACAACAATAGGATGAGTTTATACAGTTAATAAATATATGAATAAATAAATATGGTAATAAATAATAGTTTTTGCAAACAAGTTCTTTTCAAAAGCATGAGACTGCTTTATGTATTTTTCTTCTGTGAGTGAACCATGCAGGAAAGCATTTTTGACGTCTAATTGGCAAGCAAAAAGTTTTTTTTTATTCATAATAGCAAGGAGAGTCCTCAGAGTTCTTAGACGTGCTACAGGTGAATAATATGTAATAAAATACTTTCTCTTGGGAGCAACTTTTCACTACAAGAAGTCGCCATTTTCGTCTCTATTAATTTTGAATATCAATTCCTTTTCTTCCTGGTGGCAATTCAACACTTTTCATAATTCCCATTTTCTGAAATTTCTTGGAACATTTCCAAAATATTGTCTATCAAATATTCCGCATTCATAGCCATCACACAATAATCTTCCAGATATTTTGGTGTAACAGATTTTCAACAACTTTTTCTTTAAACAGTTTTCATTTATTTTCTCTTCATTTGTATAATCTGAATCAATTTTGTACCTAATTCATTTCTACTCCGCCTACATCAACATTTTTGGATAATTTTTGACTGCAATTAGGTTCTTCAGAATTATGTGTACTATGAAAATCACCAGTCTCAAAACTGAATTTGGATTCGTCAAATATCACAACTCTGCCACAATATACCTTCCTTTCTTCTGGACACCTAAATATATAATCATTTGAGCAATATGAATTTTTCCTGGGAATTGAATAAGTCAACCCTAATAATGATAAACCTAAATTAACTCCTCTTTGAAATATTTGCTAATTTCTGCATCCTACAACTTATATTGAAGTGCAAGATATAATTATGAAAACAACGAAACACCAACACCTGGAATACATTCATGGTAGGTAAAGCTTAAATAACTGTAACATGTTATAAATCACATGATAGAAGTAAGACCTCACTAATCCTCAGCTGGTGCAAGTTTCGATTTTTGAGGGTTGTCATTCATAAGGGGGCAACAGCTGGTTAATGGAAAAACAGGTATCAACAGATTTTTCAAACAGATATATTTTGCCATCATAAATGTTATGTAAAAGATAAATCCGTCGAAGAAGAAGCATATTCGGAAGCACTTGAGATGAAGTTGTCTGTTCCTGTATAGAAAAATAGTCCTAAAACAAGTGGAAAACAATCATAATGTTTGCTCACAATCACAGGTTGCAAAAATCATCAATTACAGTTATTATCCACGATTGGTGAATTTCATGTGCCACAAACTTTTTCTCAACTCATTTAAGCTTCAAGCTTCAGTTGGCTTATTTTTTATTTAAATAGATCTTTTGAAATGGTGAGCTTCATTCTGGAAAAACTGAATAGAAATGGAATCAGGGAAGTTGTCAATGACTCGGTTACTTCATATACAAAAAACCTTCATAGTAAAATGAGTATTTGTAATACAAGTGATTTCATAATGACAATTAAAGTCTCACTTGAAGATGGCTAGTATGTGTTTTCTTTGTTTGTCTCAATTTAAGTCTGTTTTATACATTATCTTTATAACTCATAAGTTTTTTCATTGATCACTACTTGTCTAAAACTGTTATATTTTATGGATATAATAAATAATATTTCATTCTGTTCATTATTTATTTGTGTGACCCTCTTTACTTTACTTTTACAATTTCAGTTCTTCACTTAAAAACATGAAACATTGATTGTTGATAAAAACAGCTGTGATGTGGATTTTAGTTTGGTATTAGGTATACAACAACACAATATCTTATGATTGTTTTTAACTACTTACTGCTGAGACAAACTTCAAACAGTAGCATTGTGGTCTGTTTTATAGTGACATTTGTGTGGGTAGTAAAGGTATTTCCATAAAGGGCTGCAAAACTTTTTACACCTGACCCCAGTTTCGCTGTGCACACTCTGCCCTTTTAGTTTTCTTGTTTTCAATAAATGCATATTTTTGTTTTTATACATTATTGTCGAAATTACTATTTCAAACTTTACCTGAATTGAGGAAAATGTCTTGGGTCAAGTATTCTTCACTAAAGTTGTAGTTGTCGTAGAAAACAAAAATAGTTGTCTATATTCACTCTTTCACTTGTCAGAGGTTTATATGTTTATATATGATTATATTTTCTTATTTTTTTTATAGCAGCCCAAATCATCTCAATTGGATTGAATACATATTCTTTATTAAAGTTTTCTTTTTTAAATAACACTTTTTTCGTAACCTTTTTCAGAATTTCCATATTTTTACCTTCCACGAATTTGAGAATGTTTTCTTTCTTTATACTACTAGTGAGAATTTTGTTATGTCATTTCTACATGGTAGTCAGCAGATGATTGTTTTATATTTTTAGCTTATTACTGCCTGCATGTAGAATGATAGCCCATTTACCGCGAGAACAAGACCCATTTAGAGAGCACTCACTACCATCATCTACCCAATCATATTCAACATCATGTTTGTCGAACCAAGTTTTATCAAGGTAGGTACACTATTTCTGTTTTGACTGATGACATTCCTTAATTTTTCGTAAATACTGCTGCCGCCATGCTGCGATGTGAGATGACTCCATTATGATCATTCTTTATTTATTTTTCTGTACTTGAAGCCACAATCTAGCAAAATACCGTGCAGTGTATCCAAAGACTTATATTCGTGATTGGGATAATCTCGTAACTCATTACGAACCATTTCCAGAGTTGGAACCTTGTTTTCTTCATAAAACTTATAATATACAATTCGGCGTCTAACGCCGAATTGTATATTGTATTTTAAGCTGTTGATTATTTCCTTTTTCCTTTTACGGAATGATCAATGACATCTCCAGCTCTAACAACAGTATAAATTGTAATACGAGCAATTTTAGTCAGCTCACAAACCTTTTCTGAAATATCATTTTGTAAGGACCCACGCATTTCACTTTTCAAGCAACTGTAAATATTTTAAACAAGCCTTTGGATTTGAGGATGCAAGTCCTTATTTAAAAATCCCACGCTGTAGAAATATCTTCAACTGAGCCTTCAACATTGCTCATTTCATTATCAGAAACATGAAAAGGTCTCCACTACGCCATCTTGATTAATTAATAACAACAAAACAATTCAGAAAAACACGACACTAATGCAAGTCAAAGCAGAATAAACTCATTTTATAAGTTCTAACCCAACCTACAGCACTGACAATCCAGATGCGTTCACAGTGGACCCGAATTTTTTTGACCATTATGTTTTGCTTCTGTGTAATAGTATTTGTTCAACTCGATAGGACTGGCATACTCTGAGTGAGAGGTAAGAAATTCATACAAGATCTAATCATTATTTTTAAGTGGGAGGTTTTATATGGTATTAACTAGTAAATTTATCAGACTCGGTACATTAGTCTTTTATTTAGATGTAAAGATTAATTTCGTATAATAGACTATACATAAATAGTATCAATGAAGGTCTGCTGAAGAACTTCTCTCCAGTGAGCTTAATCATGTGAAAAATTGTAATTATTCAAAAAAACATTTAGGATACACTTGAAAGGATTCATAGTAGTTGCCCATATAACATCCCTTCTCAAACGATAAGTGATATCTGAATTGAAGGAAAACACATGTTCGAGATCATGTAAATATCTATATGGATATCATTGACAAACTAAATGGATATTACTGGAGTTTTTTTTCCCAACACCAAATCGTTATTTTTAACACCTCGGCACGTGTTTCGATCACCAAGTGATCATCTTCAAGAGGGAGATTAAACAGTTTAATCTTCCTCTTGAAATGTATTTGGTTGAAAAATTTATATTTTAAAGAAAAGTCCACGTCAAGAATCAAAATTTGCTAGAGAAACGATGGAACAATGGTTGAAATTTTTCTTGGTTATTCAAAAATTTCAAAAGCATATCATGTTTGTATGCCTTCAATGGATAAAATTGATTTAGTAAAAGAAATAAGTGTACTGAATGAAATGTACATGGGTGAGAAGAGCACCGCTCATCCCAATTTTGAGCATGAAGAAGAAAATATATCTGAAACTGGACATGTAGAACGTGGATTGCGCAAAAGAATGCCAAATGAAGAAACGGGAAGTCTTCAACCCCCAGAGAAGAGAAGAAAGAAGAGAGGTAGATGACGAAAGAAGACAGTTGGAAAAAAATAAAGATAAGATTTATGAAAATAGTGGGAATTTTTTAAAGGAACCGGATTCATCAGAAAAAGAAACAATGGAGAGAACTCTATCATTATACATAAGTGAAATGTCAAACAGTGAACAATTTGTAGGTCATCCTTCAAGATCTGAAAAACTGCATTCATGGGCCAATGATTATTACAGGGTGATGATTATGTATTTCTCTGTACTCTGATACTGTCTCATAGATGGAGAAGGAGCAATAAGTTGGGAACCAAAGAAGCAGAAATCACCATTTTCAATGACAATCAATATGCGAAGAACAGGTCCTAGAATTCAATCATCGGTTCAAAATTGAAAAATGTATACATATTAGAGAACGTTTCATTAAAGAGGCAATGGTCGATGGAAATGTGAAGATAAAGAATCTACCCATTAATGAAATTGATGCAGATATCTTTAGAAAACCTTCATCAGAACCAATGTCCAACAATTATAGAAATGATGTAGTACTAACTGAAGTCACATAAGATATTGAATCACGAAGTCTGTGCCCGTGAGTGTTGGAAATAGTATTGATGCACATCACCAGACTTCATCAAAGTTGTAGTTGTTGTAGAAAACAAAAATAGTTGTTTATATTTACTTTTTCACTTGTCAGAGATTAATATATTGATATACAATTTTTGTAAATAAGGAACCTACCATACATTAACCAAGTTTCCATCTCTCCTGGTTTCAAATACGCTTCGTCATCCCACAAAGCAACAGATGATTCGGTTAAAATTTTGGGGTCAGGTTTTTGCAACCGTATGTAATTAATCATTTTGATATAAGAGTAACAGTCCATATTGTATTTGTTCTTCAATGAGAGTAGATCAAAGTTATGCTCTGATCGACAATGATCTAGTGCAACAGCTATAGTATGAAACTGCAAAGTGCAAAACAGACAAGTAGTCTGTTCTCCACTCACTTCCATTTCATCCCATCCATCAGAGTCATCTTCGCAAGTGTTGAGGTCCCCCGAGCAGGAATCAACTAGTGGTGGACAATCTATTGAAACGTTAAATATTAATGAATTGAAGAATATGATAACTTACCTCACCTTCCTCTAAAGACATTGTATATTCAAAAAATCTCAATAAAAACACACGTGGTGTACTAAGTATGTACTACTCTACTAATAAATTTCAAAAAATCAAATGAGATAGAATAACCTACATCCCATAGGCAAAAAAGCAACATTAACCAGAATAAGAATATAAGAAACAAGAAAATACGACGTCCGCAACCAGAATAACATAGTTTTGTTAAATTAGTTGCATAATGAATATTCTCTCCCTCTATTCTGGTATGGCCATTGCTTCCTTCTCAGGCGCATTCTACCTAACGATTATGGACATACAGGATTGCTTACTTATATATATCGCCACGTTAAACAAGCGCCGAGCAGATGTGACGTAACACTGGTGACACTTTTAGTAGCTGCCGTAAGACTGTGTGTTATTTTAACATTTTTTGAGGACTATTTTCGAACAGTATTACATTGTTTTTGTATATTTTGATTAAATTTTTATTTAACTATACCAATTAGGTTTCTGAAATATTGAGTTTGTTATTGTGAAAGTCGTATTTTTTTGTGCTTTTGGACGTTTTTTAAACTGGTGTAGCGAGTAGACGCCATATAGACTCTGTTATTTTCTTCCATTTTGAGGTTTGTTTTTCGCCATTGTGGATCTTTTTTTTTGTTTTTTGAACATTTCAAAATTAAGGTAAAAATTGAAAATATTCACATTTTTGTAAGTAATAGCAATAATTGTCTAACCATTAAATAACCTTGTAATTTTTAGTTAAAATGTCTGGTCGTATTTGTGCAGTGTCAACTTGCAAAAGCAATTAGTTGACTTTAAAGAAAAGTGGTGTTACTGATGTAATATTTCACTCTTTTCCTATTGCTGAGGATATGATTTCTACAACTTTGCAAAAAGAATGGATTCGTTGTTGCAAAAGAGGGGATAAATTCACTCTCAAAAATGGATTTGTTTGTTCTAAACTTTATTCAGAAAATGATTATGAACGAGACCTTGAAAATGAATTGTTAGGTAAAAACTTATTCTATTCATTTACTGCTTAAAATAAATATGTTTCTTTTTTATAGGTTTGCCTTTGCGTCGTAAATTAAAAAAAACTGCAAATTTCCTTTAAATATTATTTTTGAATTATGCAAACTGAGAACAATTATCAGAATGAAATATAATAACTTGAAGGCTGAAGAAAATAGGTCACTTAAAAAAAAATTTAAACTATTTTCATAATAGAGAAAAAATCGAAAATTAAATACAGTAATACATTAGTCCTTTAAATATATTTAGTGGATAAAGTAATTCCTTTTTGCTCTAATGTAGTATTATAATTTATTAAATCGTAGATTTGTCAGTTTTGAAACTGAAATCGTAGATTTGTCAGTTTTAAGTACTTAGTACACCACGTGTGTTTTTGTTGAGATTTTTTGAATATACAATGTCTTTAGACGAAGGTGAGGTAAGTTATCATATTCTTCAATTCATTAATATTTAACGTTTCAATAGATTGTCCACCACTAGTTGATTCCTGCTCGGGGGACCTCAACACTTGCGAAGATGACTCTGATGGATGGGGTGAAATGGAAGTGAGTGGAGAACAGACTCGGAAGAATGAGTCCAGTCATCACCCAAAGACGATTGTGGATACTAACAATCGAAACGTCGTGAAGTGACTTGGCTTGAATTTTATTTTATTTTTGATTTTCTTCAAATTTACTCTTTTATTTCTTGTAAATTGTTCAATTTCCAATTGTACTTGGTATTTATTTCATTGCAATTTCGTTCAGGTTTTTTTTTACTTAATATAATTGTTATTTTCAGCTATTATTTTCAGTTTTATTGATTCTTTCAGGAATACTTTATATCATATGAGACAATGGAAATCCGAACTGTTTTAAAAATCTGTCTTACAGTTAATCAGCTGTCGCCCCCATACGAGCAACAACTCTCAAAAGTTGAGAACTTGTGCGAGCTAAGGACTAACGAGGTTTTATCTTTTAACGTGTGATTCCTAACAAACTTAGCTTATATTGTTGGAGAATAAATTGTATTTTATACATGTTGACGTGTTTCGGGGGTGATTTCTTTGTAGGCACTTTGTTTTCTATCCACGAGTTCCGAAATAAATTGTGGTTGTGTATCGTACACACAATATCCTATCAGCTATTGTTGTGGTTTTACGTTCTTCCTGTGAGTGAAAATAATTCATTTTTCCATTCATTAAACTATCATGTCTGTGATAATCACACCAAAAATATTACTCTCACAAATTCACAATTAAACAATAAACATTACCTGAAGCGTATTCTAGCGCTCATGTATTCAAAACGTATTCGATTGTGATTCAAATACATTCATTCTGGCGTTGAAACGGTAACGTTACATCAAGTATGATTTGAAACGTGACTCTTTAATTTTTTTGTGATTTTTACCAAACAGGATGCGAGGTCTCGTTTCATTTCTTTATATGCCTTATCTTTGAGTATGTCTCCCATTTTCCTTGTTGATATGGGCACAAAAGAATACACGTGTGTTATGGACACAAGAAACTAAAGCAGTCTTACCGAACGTCAGAAGAGTTACAGAAAAATAGAAGGAATTCTAAACCGACAGCATTGAAACAAAATATCACCCTATGAAAAGCATCAGAAGTTAAATGGAAACAGTAAACTACAATACCGCAGATATTAGAAACAACATTTTAGAAAATGTAAGTCCGAACCTCTAACATTCATTTCATAATCTCATCCTATATTTTCTGCGACATCGATTAAAAGATTCTTGGTAGGATTTTCTATTATTCTTATTTTGGAATGAATATTTAGTGAAAAATTGAATAATGTATTCAGCAGATGAGCAATCCCCAATGATTGAATGATGAAGAAGATTTCGACAGTAAGTTTCTTACAAGGTCAATGCATAATAAATTAACAACAGAATTAACTTTTCAATTATTTCATGAATACATCATTCTGAAGCAGTATTTTTTCAAACTATAAAACTATTTTTTTGTAGAGTTGCCTAGTTTCTGTCAGAGAAACGACCATGAGAAAAAGAAGAAGAACATAGAGACAAGACTTGTCTAAGGGTCAAGTGTGGTTAGGTTAGGCCTTAATATTGTTAATTTTCTAAAACGTGATATAAACATTACCGACTTTTCAAACCCATTGTACAAGTATTGACTAAAGGAATAAAAATGGGGTTTCCTAAAAGTGAGTAAATTAATTCTTTTTAAAAATTAAAAAATATATTTTTATTGTATTCTAGCCAAGAGAAAACCATTACCAAAAGAAGTTGTAAAACAAAAATTAAGAGAGAAGAAAAAGTTATCAAAACAGTTACTCAAAGAAAAGAGAGCTCGTTTATTAATTAAAAACCTATCATTTCAAGTAACAGAAGAAAATTTGAAAGAATATTTTGAAAAATATGGAGAAGTACTTAATGTTAATTTGTTGAAAAGACCTGATGGCAAATTAGTAGGTTGTGGCTTTGTACAATTCAAGTTGGTACAAAAAGCAGCCAAGGCAAAACACCATACGAATGGAAAAGAGTTTTTAGGAAGAGTAATTTCAGTTGACTTTGCTAAGGCTAAAAACAAACATCAAAAAGATATTGCAGAAGTGAAAAAAATTGAACCATCTGAAGGAGTAGAAATCAAGGAAGAAGATGATACAGATCATATTAAGATAGAGGAAAATGATACTGATGAAAATAGTGACAGTAAGATGGAAGTAATTAGTGATAATGACGAAGAATGTGTGGGGAGTAGTGATGAATTGGAAGATGAAAATGATGTCGAAGAAGTCCCAGAAACTTCAAATGAAAGAAGGCCACATATAATATCAAATGATGTTAGTGAAGAGAAGACTGTTTTTGTTAAGAATGTACCATTTGATGCCACTAATGAAAATCTGAAACAATGCATGCTTCAATTTGGACCTGTTTATTATGCTTTAGTGTGTATAGACAAACTCACAGAACACTCCAAAGGTACAGCATTTGTGAAATTTGTTGTAAGTAGTCAAAGACAGTTCTCAATAATTTGTAATTATGTGGCTCACTTGAAACTTTTTTCTATCATGAATCAAAATTTGTACATCCGATAAACTTAGGAAATGAGGCCTTTGAAAATTTGGAAAAATCAAAAAAATCATTTTAGGTGCTTATTTTTGGCAATGAATCTAAATAAGGATCACTAATCTCTGAATAAGGAAACTTTTATTTTCCAAATGAAAAAATATTTAACGATTTGAATTTAACCTTCAAGCAAGTAGGCTAGGTAGGTCCAAAAAGTGAGAGTGTATATATTTGATCCTCTACTTCTACCCGTGAGGGTTTATTGGGTCTTGACCAAATAAATCCAGCTTCCCAACAAAGTTGATTAGTTCATTTTGTGAGTGATTATTCAGGTCAGATGTCAAGAGTAAAAATTGGACAGATACTGAGCTGTAGATTCGACTTTCCCAAAATTTGCATTTGAAATAATTTTAGGTTCATTCATTATCTGATTGTCATTATGGTCTGCTCAAAATGGAATGTTGCTCAATGTCAGCAAATGTCAATTTATAACCTTATTGCACAAATGATCCCTGATTCAATTCAACTTTTTATATAAATATTTTTCATTTTTGTAATTATATATCCTTCTTTCAAGTCCTTTATTTTCTAATTGTGTAATAGTGAGATATAATTAAAAAAAAAATAACAATTTATATAGGGAAAAAAGTGATGTGGCTAGTGATTTAATATTCGTCACATGAGATTATAAAAAGGTGTCATTTTTTTGAGTTTTTACTGTTGAACGTCAATAATCATTTGAAAGGTTACCTCTCACCAGATGTAGACAAAATTTTCCAGCATTTTTTATTTTATTTTTTTCTTCAGAATAAGGAAGATGCCGATAAGGCTTTGAATGCAGGTACAGAGTTAACGCTACTTGGTAATATATTGGATTGTCATCCAGCTCTCAATCGAAATGATGTTCAGAAGAAAATTCTTGACAAGAAACAAAGCAAAAGTGAACCAAAGGACTCAAGAAATTTATATCTTGTTAAAGAAGGAGGTATGTACATTTCGGAGACATTGGTGATTTTTATTCTATTTTTTTTTATCTAGTTATATTAGCTGGAAGTAAAGCTGCCCAGGGTGTATCAGCTACTGATATGGCAAAGAGACTGCAAATAGAACAATACAAAACCCAAATGTTGCGAAACTTGAATATGTTCATATCAAGAGAAAGAATTGTTGTACATAACCTACCAGCAACTTGGGATGACAAAAAATTTCGGACATTGTTACAAAAATACAGTGGGCCAGGCGCTGTGATCAAAGAGGCTCGAATTATGAGAGATATGAAAAACTTGGATGCACACGGTGTAGGAAAATCCAAAGAATATGGCTTTGCCACATTTACAAAGCACGAAAATGCATTAGCTGCATTAAGGAACTTGAATAACAATCCGGAAATATTCTCATCTCACCGAAGGCCCATCATAGCATTCAGCATTGAAAATAAAGCAATGATTGTTGCTAGACAGAAGCGATTGGAAAAGTCAAAGATGAATAATCCATCAATTAGAAGCTTCAAGAAGGAGAAGATAGATAGTGAACCTAAAAAAACACAAGGAAAGATCAGCAGAAAATATAAACCTCATAAAAACAAAAAAGAACAGCTCAGGGATGATAACATTCCAGAATTTTCTGGAATTGCCTCTAAACCAGGGGTAAGGGATAAAATGAGAAGCAGATATAAGCTGCAGACCCAAGCAAAGTTGCATTTTGAGAATTTGAAGAAGGAGAAAAAGAAGCAGAAGAATGCAAAGAAGACTTTAGTGGAAAAGAAGAAAGAATTCATTAAGCAGCCCAAACAGAAAATAAATAAGGTTAAGGAAAGTGATTCTTTCTCAAAGTTAGTTAACGAATATAAGAAAAAATTAGTTGATCCAACCATATCCTATAAGTCAAAATGGTATCAGTGATCTTGAATAAAAATGTTAATTTTGAAGTATTTTTATTGATACACCCTTTCAGTCAAGATAACTCACACTCTGGTAAAAGGGACAATAAATAACAGAAAAAACTGAAATTATATATTTTAAAACTCCTATACTCTATCAAAAACTATCCCATGAACAACCAAATTTCTCAGTTATCTAATCATTTTCAAATATTATTAAAAATATGATGAACACTTTTTCACATTTGTTGTCTCTTTGGAATGAACCATCATCAATATAACTTCTCACAATTATTGTTTAATTATTTTTTTGGAAAGCCAAACTTGAATGTAATTTTGGAAAAATCTCTTAATGCTGTATTTTGGTCGCCTCCTTTGGATTACTGTCTGTTGTGGAAAGTCCTTACATCATGAGAAATGACATTCATCTGACATTACATCAACACTTTAACTGTTTTTTTATTGGATTTGGTGTTTATCTGGTGTCATACAGTATTTTTCAACAGTTGAGTTACGATTGAAAGATGTCACTTTTGAATTAGAAATCGACCTGTTAATGCGTTTTTCTCAAAAAATGTGACTTGAATGTATTCGATTTGTTTTGTTTTTCTTGCAGCACACTGTATAATTTGTTGTTAGAGGGGCAATTCTGATTGTTGAAATTATATTATAATAAAGTGTTCATTAATTTTGACCCAGGTAAACATTTTTTGTTTTGTTCTGATTGGCGCTCATGTGAATTTCAATTTGGTTTCTATTTTACGAAATGATAATTGAAACCCAAATAAAATATATTTATATATTCCAGTAGACACCTTGCAACTTTTATCTAAAAATAATTCAAAAATACTTTGAATCATAAAAACTAATGGGTAACAGGTTTTTATTGTAACTCTTGGCTTACACTAATTTCGTCAAAACAACAAAATGTTTTGCCATAACTATCAATCAAAATATACTTTATTGACTGAAGATAGAAAAAGTCTTGTGGACAAAGTTAAATTAATATTCAAATGCCATTATACCATGATTCACATGAAACTAGCCCAATAAAATATAAATTATCCAATAGATTTGGAAATAAATAAATAAAAAAAATTGAAACTCTGAAATATAAACATTATACAAATACTATATAATGACAGGTCCAAAAATAATTTTTCTGAACACATCATATGTCAAATCAAATCATAAGATTTTCTTGTTGACATAGTTTATGAAGTTTAGATTTAGAAAACACTCAGAAAATCTCATTCATAAAATTTAAAAAATAACATTATTCAATCTGTCAAGATTTTTATCATTGGAAAAGAGAAACATAAAATAAGAGCACCTTGCATAAGATAATTAAGTTGGAGAACTCTTGAGTGTCATATCTCGGGTTGACAAAAAGGAGATTTTTAAGAGTTCCCCTGAATAACTTGAACAACCAATTTCCTGGAGTCTTTGAAGTCCAATAGATACTCATAAGGACAACAAGAGAATTGTTCCGAATTCTTGGGGTCCTTGTTGAATACTCTTCGTGAGAAAAAAAAATAGCAGAATCAATACTCCTGACGGCTCTGTGTTGTATACTTTAATGATATATTATTATGGCCTGGATCATCTAGAAATGCATGCTCTCTCCTATGATCCCTTCAGATATATCAAGTTACTTGCCATTCCAAGTCATTTCTAAGGATAATTCATCAACGAACATTAATTTCTCTATCACTTTCTGTATATTGGGGATTCTTTACACAATACCGTTATTGGTGCCTCGAATTCATACATTTTATCAGAATTAGAAATACGCACCTTAAAGATTCTACTTTGACCACAGAACAGAAAGAACTTCTGTGGTGAAACCTCAATATAATGCTTACTATTCTGTGATAGCGGTGATTTTCCAAACAACTTTTGGAACATATGTATTTAGTCACAGAATAACATAGTTTAGTGTAGTTGTAGTTTTATGATTTGTGGATACGAATAAAGTATTGAATAGGTTAGGATTTTAAATGTCATTGAAAAATAAAAATAAACATTACTCCTATTGACATTTCAATTCCCACTACAAATTCTTGTGATACCTGCAAAGGTGAATGTTATTGTATTTTTTAACATTATTTATTATTGCTACTCGAGGCAACCCAGTGCATTATTATGTTACGTGCAGTCAAGTCAGGGATTGTTAGGTTAGGCGAATTGTTTTCGTGAAAATCAAATCAGATACCATCTTATCAGTATAAGTAGAATGAGATAAATCCATCCGGCTTAAAAATGCCTATGTGGTGTTATCCAAGATGAGAAGAAACGTGAAAACACTAGTAAAATATCTTTTAATTTCGGCAGTGACTGTAGTATTTACAGTGCTATTTTATAGGATATTCAAAAGTAGAAATTTGAATACAAACAATGTGTACTTTGAAGCTAAAAATATTGGGGTAGAACCCCAAGCTCCTCGAGACGTAAGTTGGATATTTTAAGGCTTATTGAGGTAATCTAATTTTATTTTTTCCTTCCCAGGTTTTTTTACCAGTTGATAATGAAAAAATTGACTGGCATGATTACCAACAAATCAAAAGGGATTCGATGAGAGTTGGTGAGTATAAAATTATTCAATATGATCGTTGATTATAATTGGATTATTTTCCTCAACTCCTAAAAACAGATCAGTTGAAGGCTATATGTAGTTAATGTCAAAATTATCATTCTCCAATCTTGTTATATGGAAATATTTATATTCAACTAAAGATTATTTGACTTTCTCTTTCAAGAACTCAATTCTCATTAAGAAATTGAATATTTTCAATGCGAAGGACTATTTTGCACATACTTTTGAATCTTGCTAAAATATGTAGTTAATTTATAGTAGTTATATATTTGTATTCAAATGTTTTTGCTAAAGTACTTTGTGAATGTCAGAAATTATATTGATATTGAATAAAGAAATTGAAGCAAAAAATAGCCATTATCTAAATATGTATAAATGAATGAACAATATAGTAGTATTTAATTAGCTTAACGTATCAATACTGTGAGACTTGAAATGTTACGATTCAAAGTTCTCCCCAGAATTACAACAAATTTACTATAAAACTATTTGGTGGTATTATCACTACATAGTATAAAACAAAGTCGTTTCTTGCTGTCTGCCCCTTTGTATGCTTAGATCTTTAAAACTATGCAATGGGGTTTTTCAATAGATAGAGGAAGGTTCATGTGTATATAACATGCATAATATAGTATAGAAACTGATCATTTTGGAGGTTTTTAATGTGATGTTGTAAATAAACACATTTTTTACACTTACATTGCAAACGCTGGCTGAACCCTACGATATAGATAAAAAAATGTACTAGAGTACTGTACACCTTAATAAGGTCTACAAAAAATTCTGTGATGGTATATCTCTATCTCTCAGGGATAACCTACAGTAACCATTTATTATTCTCAACAAATAATTGCTTATATAGGAAGCAATTTTAAGCAATACAGCATTAATCCTTATCTAATTAAGTACTTTATATAAATTGTGCATTTAATATAGATCAATATGACCCTTTACAGCATGTAACTTAGATCAATATTTTTGAAGATATTACAGCCCTATAACAGTAGCGTTCGCAAGTGTTTATTTGTATATTCAATATCAGCATTGCACCCATGCGGAACCGGGGCGGGTCGCTTGTCGTTAATAAAAATAAAATGACATCATTAAAATTAAGTTCCAATTCCCAACTCACATAACTTTTGAAAAATATGGCAACATTGTTAGTAATAATGCACTAATTAATACATTACCTACAAGGTCTCCTTTCAAGGTTTCTTCTTTTATTTTTTATTAGCTTAAGGCAATTAAAGTTAATCCAGCAATACTGTTGGACATTTATAAGTGTATTTTATATAAGAATTATATAGAAAATTTTTTGACAAAAAAATTATCCTATCAAATTTGTCTATTTCTAGTCATGTGTGTCGAAATAACCAATGAAACCATCATTACACTGATAACTACCCATGGATAGTTTTCACGGGTAGTTATCACTTATGTCATGACATTGCTAAGCAACCAACACAATAAAGTTGTTTGACATTTCAGTAATTCAATTTATTTCGAAAATGTCACTTCCTTGCTTTGGTGTTCAAAATGATGCGGCAATTGACAAAATCATTGAAGAAAATACACCAAAAAATACTGTCAATAGTAAAAAATACACTTGGAAAATATTTATGGAGTTATATCATTATACGAATTGTTCTTTTAATAACTGTGTGTTCAATAAATAATTTTGTTCGAATTGCAAAAAATTTTCTCACCGAATATCCCTCGAACATTGATAAATAACTCTTAATTTTATCACAACTTCCTCAAGCACGTTATTTTAGGTGACATCCCTCCGCCTTCGGCGTCGGGATGTTACCAAATAACGTGCTTTCGAAAACTGTGATAAAATTATTTCGTTAGTTATCAATGTCCTTGGGATATTATAGCTGAAAATTACTTATTTCAAAATTTGTTTTCATTTAGTACAAAAGAGTTCAAGTTCATCTTGGCTCAATTAGCTGTGTCTGCCATTGCAGAAATTGTTTCTTGAAGAAAGGACACCAGCAACTTATTTTTAATGTGTGATATAATAGAAGGCAAATAAGGCATTTTTATCAAAAGGAAAGATAATTCAATTCCAGAGGCATATATTTATAATAATAAATATAAACAGTATAAAATACTTTGTACTTTCATTCATTTTGAACCAATAAATGAAGATGTTTTTCAATAAACTTACTGCCTATAAAATTAATTAATGAATGAAGAAATACATCCTTCTGACCCAGGTAGTTCTCTTTGAATGTGGTTAATAATATTTCTAGTTGAATGTTCGAATTTTGGACTTTATGTACCTAAAAATGTTGACAGATTTAAAACCTATAATAATTAAACCCAAGAAAAAAGAATACTGGGACTAATAGTTATTTATTATACAAGAAGAGTATAGCACAAGTTTTATAGAAAAACTTGAGAAAAATAATTGATAAATAATTTGTCAACTGTAAATCTTTTCGATAGTATCAAAACGGATAAAAATACCCTGGTGTGATCAGTTGGACTTCCCTATGGCATATTTTGCCAAACTTGACCTGTGGCACTCTTGATGCAGAAATTATAGAGAAAGAAAGGGATACAGGAAAATGCAGAGGTGCTGATCTCGCACCAAGATCAACTCAAATTCCTCATGTTGCATTTTTGCCATCACACCTGCAAATTTCCTATTTAAAGACATGTATCAAATATAAATAAATTGAGTATATTTTGACCTAGATAGAATTCAGTCATAACAATTGAGTTTTTCAAGTGAGCTCAAAATATAAATACATAGGCCTAAAATAATCAGTCTGTGAAAAAAAATTGCACTAACCAAAGTAACTTTTTTTAGATATAGTGAAGTAGCCCAACATAAATTATCCACAATTTATTTAATAGCGTTGGTGATCTATTATGATACACAGGGCACTACTACTGTAGAAAAAATACCAGACAAGAAACTGTAATTGAATAACTAATAAATAATAATAATGAAATGAATGTGGAATCAAAATGAAATTGTGGAAAATACTATCATTTGAAATTGTACTTGTGACTAATTGGGATTATAAAAACAAGAATAAATTGCTCTTTAACACTAGTTTCCAGCATATAAAGCTGCTGTATCATTGAAAGTGGTAGATGGTAGGTAATAAATGAATTTGGCTGCTGAATAAAATTGAAACTATTCAAAAAGCCCTCCAATATTGCGTAGCATTCCCAAAGTTCTAGAATTTCTCAATAGTAAACACCTGACACTTATCTTAGATCATTACTTAATAATCAACAATTTGGATTTTGCTCAGGTAAGTCAACTGAACTCAATCTGCTTGTCTATATAGATTATCTCTCGAACATCTTAGGTAAAGTCAACCATACTTGATTATTACAATAACTTGAATACATGGTAATTTGTAGCAACCTCTTATCTTGGATACTTTATCTCACTAATTGGATACAGATAACTCGAGTCAAGGAATTTAAATCTCCCGGAAGTTCAGTAGCATCCGGTGTTCCCCAAGGATCCCATTTGGGACCATTGCTGTTCAATGTTTTTATGGACGATATTCAGTACTACTTTTCTAATGCAGAATTTCTAAGCTTCGCAGATGATTTGAAAGTTTACAAGAACTTGAACCAACTATCTAGTTGTTGTTTTGACAATGGTATGGAACTTAATACATGTGAATGCCATTCCATAATTTTCAACCATAAACGTATCTCCTTGACGTTCTCATATACTATAAATTATGTTCCACTCAGTACAAACAGAAATAAAAAATATGGGTTAACGCCTAGACAACTCACTTTCATTTCGGCCCCACATGTCACCCACTGTTAATAAGTCTCTCAAAATGCTAGGGTTCCTAAGAAAATGCACCGCAGATTTCCCTGATATCGAATGCTTAAAAATCCTGTACTGCTGTCTGGTAAGATTTCATCTTGAATACGTATCTTGTGTATAGAACCCATCATATGAAAGCCACATCCATTGAAACAATTTCAGAGAAAATTCCTAAGATTGGTCGCGATTAAATCCAGAATTACTCCTGAGAACTGCATATATAACTATCAACTACATTATCTCATAGATATTGAAACACTCCGTAACAGAAGGGATACTAAAGACTTGAAGATATTTTTTGAAATTATGTGTTAATGGAATTGTTTGTTGTCTCTCATTGCTATCCAAGATCGGACTTTCAGCCCCTCCTAAATTTATTATAAATACAACATTTTCTCAACCATACTGTAGAACAAATCAGTACCTTCATTCCTTTTTCCCACGAAATATAAGAGTGGCAAATAAAACGGACCTCGATTTCTTTACTTCTACATCAGATTCTCAGTTTCAGAGGCAGCTTGATTCAGGATCGTCCCCGGATCTTCAATATTTTCTAGGCAGGGCAAAAACTGAAAAATGCCGCCCCTCGCCACTTATATTTATTTTTACTTTTATTATCTTCATAATTTCAGCTATCACATGTCCACCTTCTGGAAATAATGCATCCATCACTGTTCTTTCTGTGTTCCTATTCATTTACAGATATATAGACATGAACGTGCGCAATTCGATTTTCTATCGCTAACATTGTAAGACTCGAAAAGCGTTCCTGGCTCATAGAAGATCGCGAATAGTTTTTAATAAGTTTTACTTTGCTAAAACTTCACTTATAGCTTGCGGATGTAGTAGGAAGCCTAGAGTAAATTCGCAGGGCAACACAAATATTAGGAAAAGCATCCTGCAAATCATGCAAGAGATAGAAACCGTTAGCCTTTTCTATATCACCAAATAAAAGTGAAGCTTGCTCTTTGAAAACGTAGAGTTTCTGGCAGAATTCAACGGTACTTAACTCTCGCTCCAGATTCTCTGCATACTTTTGCAATTCTTTAATTAACATTTTCAAAATATTAGTACCATTAAGAAAAGCAAAATTCAAATTCAGCTAATCAGAAGAAGCCTTTTATGTTAAAAACAAAGGAAAATTCCGAAATTCTAGAAATTATTCAAAGTTTGG